ATGAATAAAACACAAAAAGAAAATAAAGCAAGTTACAATTTTTAATTCAAAGGGCTATTATGTCAAACATAAAAATGAAAAGCACTTAGAAACTTGAGAAAGTATGTATGAAATGATATTGAATAAAACACTCAGGCATCTGCATATATATTGTACTCCTAACTGTATATAACTACTTTTTATTCTCTTGTCTGTTTCTTCCAAAGAAACGTCGTAAAAGTGACTTAAAAGGCCAGCAAAGTGATTTTGACTTGAGATCTGAGGAATGATTTGGAGATTTGAATATTTTAATTGAACATCTATCTAGAAATGAAAGGAGTAAAAATGAAATCAAGAAAGGGCAAATATTAAAGGGTATTAAATATGTTTCCCTAATTTTGAGATCCTAGAAACTGGCCTTATGGCTTGGTACTATAAAAGAGGGTGCCTCTTTGGGACAGATCAACTAGAGAAGTGAAATCTTGGTATAAAAATAGGGCTACAGGTGTTTTTATTTCCATTGCTGAAAAATCAAAATGGAATCACCTGTGCTAAAGTTTCTTATCACTAAACCAAAATTAACTTGTTACCTGACCTTCCAAGAAATCAGGAGCATGAGGATATCCCCAGATTTTCCAAACAGGATAATCAGCATAACAATGAATTTCCTCTCTCCTTAATCTATACATCCTTTAATTCTTACAAAAAATTATCTAAAGTATTCTGATGTTATCTTGTTAGTTTTTTTTCATTGTTCTCCCTCCCTGTCCCCATCTTACAAGGAAATAACTTTGAAGTGACCAACCTGCTTTTTCTTTCTGCTGTTTTCAGCTCTTTTCAGTATATAAAACCAACATTTACCTGAAGTATTGCTGGCTTCTGGGAACTGCAAGATAAACCCAACTAAGATCTTTAAACTGCTGCAAAATTGACACCATAAAGTTCAATAATCCTGAGGGCCAAAAACCCTAGGTTATATATTACAGAAATGGTGCTAAGATTTCCCCTTTCACAGAGGAAAACCAAGACACAGTATGTCAGATTCTCACTCTTTCCCAAACCAGTGTGTCTGTCATTGGCTCTTCACATTTTCCTACCATTTTTATGCTTGCTCTCCAACAGCCCTAAAGGTTCTGTGACCATGTTCTACGATAGCAAATTACCTGGCAGCTCATTCATTATCTCTGGAACCTCCTAAAAACATTCAGCTAAAATGATTTACAAATTTGGGACGAGATATTTCCTACCAGGTAACATATAACAAACATATATTTCAAAAGTCCTTGATGTAAAGGAGTGATTCAAATAGAATCAATAAGCTCCATGATAATTCTTTGTGACCAATAGGTCTGAATTGTTAATTTGCCTCTTCATGGTGGTTTTAGTGACCACTGTCTGCAACAGCAGGAATGAGAGTCAAAAGTAGCCATGCGAACATTATCTTCAGACAGCTATCCACACAGGAATCAGGAAAAATAGGGAGTGGGGGGAACAGCAGATCTTTCTACAGAATGTGGAAAGAGAGTTTGAGCAAATTTTATGTAAATCTTAAAGTGAAAGTTTAACTACAACTCCAGATATATTATTTGAATCAGAGGTAGTGTGCAAAAGAAATGAAAAGCCCCAGGACCCAGAGACTCCTCAGACAAAGAGAGTATGAAAAGGCAGACTGGGCAGGGTGCAGTGGCTAACCCTTAGACTGCCAGCTGCCTGGGAGGATACTTGAGCCTGAGAGTTTGGGCAACATAGCGAGACTCCATCTCCAAACACACAAAAAAAGGAAAATCAAATCCCATCCAAATGTGGGGCCTACCTATTTTCCAAAAGCCACAAAACCACTCTGGCTGTAGTTTAAAAGTGTTATGGAAGTGTCAGAATAGCAGTAGCAGAGGTTGACTGTGGTGCTTAGAAATTATTTTAGCTTTTTAAACACAAAAAACAAATCCTAATCTAATTCTAAAAACCCTGGCTGCCCCTCTTACACTTTTCAGTCTTAAACTCTTCTTTAGTCTCAGCTTCAAGAGGAGGAATGGACACTAAGGTGTCTAATTTCATTGACAAAGTGGTGGACACAAAAGACACTGGGTGGGAGGGAGCTGGAAAAAGAATTGTTTCACTGTACTGTGTAATCTGTGTCCTCAAATGAATTATCCAGCTGTGGGCTTTTGCTGTGGATTATCAGGGCCAATCGCTTTTCCTTTCTCCCTTTGGCTGCCAGATCACTGCTCAGTAGCCCAGTAAACAGAGGTGTGAGAAAACATATAAAATACAAATGGATTCCTTTCTTTCTTTAAAAATAAATGGAATCTGTGTTGTTGTTGCTTTTAATTGTATGTGAAGTATTGGCAATGGTTTTATTTGTTTGTTTTACAGTAATAGAAGTTGTGCCCTGGGCCTGTGAACTACGTTATATCACCAGCCCTTTATTTATTTTTCATTTTGAGACAGGGTCTTGCTAAGTTTCTTTGGCTGCACTTGAACTTGTAATCTTCCTGCCTCAGCCTCCCAGAGAGCTGGTGTTACAGGTCTGCAAAAGCATGGTCCACCTAGTAATTTTATTTTCTATTTAGATGTTATTGTTTTTCTTTTCCACATTACATTTGTTCTGTCCCCAATATTGTCAATTATCTTCTCACCACCATGGAACTTGAATATTTATCATTTGGGGGAGTCATTTTTAAAGTTTTAATATTGATGACTCTCTTTTTAGGAGCTAAGAAGTTTCTAAGTAAAAACAAAAGTGACACCTGGACTTGATTTTGATCAGGTTTCTTGGCTTTACTTCTTACTTTCAGTGCTCAGACTCAGAAAGTTTGGGGGCCAAATGGTCTCTCTGTTAAGCCTTTCTGAGAGTCTGTGCTTAGGCCATTCCCCTTCTTTCTTTCGCAGGACAGAAGCTTTGGGCATTCACTGTGGTAAGGACAGCTGGGCCTCCAGCTTAGGGGACACGAAGGGTGCCTCGGCAGGGAAGGAGAGGATGTGCTGCTGGGAGCTTGTGAACACAGACCAGGCAGAAGTGATTTTCGCCAAAGCTGCCTAGGTCCTGGGGAGAACCCCTGTTGCTCCAGAGTCACTAGCAAGGGCGAGGGGAAGCAGCTGAGGCCACAGCCCAGTGACAGGATGCTGTGTCTGGATTGCTGTGTGAATCCATGCTTTGCCACTTAGTACTGAGTTTTGTTGATCTGGAGTAAATTACTTAACTTCTTTCTGTGTTAGTGTTCATTTTTATGGGGGGGGGGCGTGCCAGGGAATGAACTCAGAACCTTGTGCTTGCTAGGCAGGTGGCGGCAGCACTGAGCTAAATCCCTGGTCCTGTTTATTTTTTTATTTTTGAGTGTTCACATCTTAAAATGAGGAATAATGATAAGATCTAAAGCAGAAAGTCACTGTGATGCTTAAATAAGTGAATATTTTTAAAATGCTTAAAAGAGTTTCTGGCACAAAGACACACACACACACACACACACACACACCTTCAAATGAATAAGAAATAGATAGTTTCTTGGATAATGTCTGGAATCTTGTCTTATCCCCTTCTTTCTTGCTCTTGCTCTCCCTTTCTCTCTTATTCTTCCCATACACACTTCCCACACACCCCAAGAGCTGTGGTAGCAGGTAACTGACCCTGGGAGGTAAAGGCAGCTGCTATACCTAGGTTGGTGATGTGATCACTTAGCACTTCTATGCACCTCATACTCGTGGACTCAGCAAATCCTGAGGTGCTAAGCAGAAAACAGAAATCACAGAAAGCCTATCCCAGCAAGCAGGGAACCGAGGAGCCCTTCTCCATACTAGGCTGGCTCCTCGTCACCCATAGCAGAAATGGGGACAGTGGACAAAGTCCTATTGCCTGACTGTGTGGAGGAGGGGACTCCATGGCTGGGCTGATTAGCTGGGGTCCAGCTAGTCATAGTGCCTTGTAGGTGCTGTAGCCAACCCACAGCCTTAGTTGGCCTCTGATGTGCCTCATATCCTGCTAGGATGGCTTCTATCCTAGTGCTACAGGTGCAGAAAATGAGCATCAGAAAGGAGTGAGCCAGGAGAAGCTAAAAGGCACAGAGTTACAGGATATATGGCCAAGCCTCAGCCAACCAGAGTTTAAAGATGGAGAAACTGAAACTCAAAGAGAAGCAGCAAACAGAGAAGGTCTGAGTTTTGTGACATCTGACACTCCTAAAAGTATGTGGGTGGAGGAATCCTTAAGTAAAAGATTGCCCAATTCAAATATAAAGTGCCCGTGGCCATTACAATGTTAGCAGACTTGAGAAAGTGATGGAGGAAAGAGACACAGTGGAAAAATGGCAGTGGTCTTGCTTCATTGTGGTTAAAAGAGCTCACTTATTCAGATCTCACCAAATTGTAAGGTATATGATGAGGCCCTCAGTGGGGTCTTAAGGGGGATTTGGAAAGGACTTGTGCTAGTACAGACCCCTGAAGTATAAGCTTCATTAGCTTCATAATAAATCAGTGAACATGATTAGCTGAAGTCCTGTAATTGCTAATGAATTGTGACTGTGGGCTAGTGGGAAAGGAAGTGGGTGTGGGAGAGAGGAGACAGAAGCAAACACTCTGTTACCAGAAGAAGGCATTGGGGAGCCCATTAGTGGTTTCCTAAGAGCCTAAGAATCTCAGAAATGGGGAAAGAGAACACCAGAGAGGGTGTGTGCGGAGCAGAAGAGTCAATAGACATGTGCTCCCAACAAGGAGCCCCTGTGTAGCCAGTCCATCCTATTTTGTGCACCCAGGCCCCTGTGGGTGAGATAGCAGGGAGGAGGATGGAACAGAGGGAGGGCTCCTTCCCAGGTGTGCCTGGTCTTAGTCATGGTCTTAGTCTGAGACTCGTGGTCTTAGTCATGAGAGCAGAACCTTCTCCAGGAAACACTTCTGGCACACAATATTATACAAGATAAGTCATACATGAGTGAAACCCACCATGTCCCCAGATGAATCTGCAATGGTCAGACCACTGGGCGATGATGGAAGGATTTGGGGACTTCACACAGAGAAGAAAAGTTTCTTACCAGATTGCAGGAGGGCCATCAAAATAAGAATGATACCTGGCTCCATGATGCTAAAGTCAAAAAAAGAAAAGATAAAACTTGTTTAGAAAGTGAAATCGTAAACCAGTGTTCACCAAAATATGACCTGGAAATGGAGTCTGGGATTTGCTTGGGTTCCTCAGTACAGTAGAGAAAATGCTACGCGCTCATCATTTCCTTTCCTCTTAGCTTCACAGAGAAGCTCTATTTCCCAACCTCCCTTGCAGTTAGGCCAGGTTGTGACTGGGTTCTGACCAATGAAATCATGGGCAGAAAAGGTGGATGCTCATTCCAGACATGGCTTCCTTCTTCTCTCCTGTTTCCTTAGATGGAGGGGATCCAGAGAATAAACAGAAAGGTCTAGAAGATGGCCGAGCCTCACAATAGAAGAGGCTTTGCTGAATAATTTAATGAAAAAGCTCTCTCCACTCCTCCCCAACAACTGACCTCAATTGGACTGTGACACCAGAAAAAAAAAAACTTTTATTGCACTAGATAACGATATTATTTACTGCAGTTTCAGGCATTACTTCTTTTGAACCCAGTGAGTGTGATGCAGCCTATGGAATGTATTTATCTTTAGAAATCAGCCCACTTTAGTTTCCCTATGATTTTCAAACTTGAATGTGTGTTAAAATTACCTAAGGAACATGTATAACAGTTTCCTGGGTCTCATCCACAGAGCTTGATTTAGTAGGTTGGGATGAGGCCCATGAATTTGTATGTCTAACAATTGCCCAAGTGATGATGCTTTGAGAAGCACTGTACTAGAGCATTCCTTTAATGTGCATGATGGAACCAAAGAAGATGATATGCATTGCTTTGTAACCGCCTTCCTTGACTTCCTCCTCTCCTTTCCTCCCTCTTTCTCCTCTCACATACATATCCAACTGAGGCCAAAATGACTATAGAGTGGCTCAAAGGGAAGCAAAGAATGAAGGAAGGACCAACACTAGAAACTTCTCGAAAGCCAACCAAGTACAGCACAGGAGTGCAAAATGGAGCCAGGGACAAGGCCAGTGCATACGCTTACCACAGAAACCTGCCTCCTTTGCATTGGGTTGGATGCAAGTTTGGTTTGCAGATTTTGTTCTTTTGTTTGTTTTTTGAGACAAAGTCTCAGCATATAGCTGAGGCTGGACTCAAAATGATAATCTTCCTGCCTCAGTCTGCCAAGTGCTGGAATAGTGACATTCAGTATCATACCTGTCTGGCTTGTAGATTTTTAACAGCTAAGATGAAATGGAGAAAAACCCACCTGGTGAATTAATTCACAAGACTGTCCACTAATATATGGGTTTGTTCATGAAAATAAGCCAATGCTCAGGAGAAGGTGCAGAACTATTCTTTATCTGATAGCAGAAGTTTATTCATTTGGGGTAGGGATGGTTATTTAAAACTATTCCTGATCCTTTGACCCATGATATACACTCTTCCCCTCTGTTCCCTTAGCACTCAGCACAGGACATCGGGCTAAAAGTGTCTGTGTTAAGTTTATTTCTTTCCTTTTTTAATTAAGTTGATTGAATAGGTCATACCTATATAAATACTAAATTTAAAAAGTAAAGGTCATAAACAGTAGAAGGCTAGCCTCTCCCAGCCCTATCTAGTTTTATTACCTGTTACCAGTTTATTACACCTCATTGCAGTTATTTTAGGTCAAACAAACCAAAATGCAAACATAAATCTATATTTGATTCTTATTTTATTTTTAAACACAAATAGTGGTATTTGATACATAGCCTTGCAAACTCACCATCTATTTAGAGTTGCTCTGTTTAAGTACATAATGACTATCTTCCTGCTAACAGTTTCATTCTTTTCTATTGTATTTTATTGGATGGCAGTAATCTATTTTGCTATACCCTACTGACGTACATTTGGGTTGCTGCCAATCTTTGGTTGCAGTGAAAAACCTTGATTCTATGCTATATCACATCAACAGGAGTAGATTATGTTCCTTAAAGTAGAATTGGTGGACCAAAGGGTTAAAGGCAATGTAATGTTAATTTCTATGGATATTAAAAATGTTCTATCTTAAGATTATATGTTAATGTTGCCATTAACCAAACATGAGAGTGCTCATTTTCACACATTTTTGGGCCAACATAGTATGTTTTCTAATTTGTGACTTTTATTATTAGGGAAGGTTAAAATGGCACCTCCTTGTGATTTTTAAAAGTTATTTTTAGTTGCGGTAAAGTGCACATAACAAAAAAATGCACTGTCTTGATCATTTCTAAATGCATAGCGGCATTAAACAGAGTCATTGTATTAAACAACCATTCCTACCATCCATCTCCAAAAGTCTTTTCATCTCACAAAATTGAAGCTTTGCAGCATATTAAACAATGACTACAAACTCTCCCAGCCCCTAGAAGCCATTATCTCACTGTCTCTATGAATCTGACGACTTTAGATAGAAATAGTATCACACAGTATTTGCTTTTGTAAATGGCTTATTTCACTTAGCAGAATGTCTTCCGGGTCCACGCATGTTGTAGTGTCTGTTAGAATTTTGTTACTTTTAGAGACGGAATACAGGTCAATTGCTTGCGTACACAATGTGTTAATCCCCTTCATCTGTTGGTGGCCACTTGAGTTGCTTCCACCCCTTGGCTATTGCAAAGAATGCTGCTATGGACATAGACATACAAGTTTCCCTTTAAGATCTGGCGTTTACTTCTTTCAGGTACAAACCTAGAAGTGGAATTCCTGGATAACGCAGAAGCTTTAAGTTTCTAAAGAACCACTCTACTGTTTTCCACAGCAGCTGCCTCATTTCACAGTCCCATCAATGCACACAAGAGTTCTACTTTCTCCACATACTTACACACTATATTCTATTTTTTTCCTCAATAGTAGCCGTCCTAATAGGCATGAGGCATTTTTCACTGTCTATATAATGAACTATAAAACGAACTTTTCTTATTACGAGTCCCAGCATCTCTTCAAGTGGATAAGAAATACTATTTCCCTTCTCATATACTGTCTGTACACTTCTTTTGCTCACTTTTAAGTCTTTGGCTTTATAAAAAATGGATTTGTGAAACTATTTGGTATTTACACGTATGTGACTTATTTATTTCACTTAAGAGTATATACCAAATAGTTTCTCTGGTGTGAAACACCAGAAGTGTAAATAAGATCCAAATGGCATAAGTGACAATGTGAAATAAGAAGAAAACAGTTAAAGGTGTAGGGGAAGTGGGAAGGGGAGGGAAAGGAAATAAGGCAAAAGAAAAAATATGAGAAAATGAAAAAATGGAAAAAAGTTTTTGTAAATAGGAAAGGGAGGAGTGGGTGAAGGGAGGGCAGGGGTAAGGGGATAAAAATGAGAACCAAGACCTGTCACGTAAAGGTACAAGATCCCAGTGATGAATGTAATTGCACTATATACCTAAAAAGTATCAATAAATTCAATGAGAAAAAAAAAAGAAAAAAGAAAAGTACAAAGAATAATAAAACAATGGATTTGTGGAGAGCTCCTTTACATTAGAAAATTAGCACTTTATGACAATGTTACAAATGTATTCAGTCCCTGAAACGCACAGTAGGTGTTTGATGTCTAAACTGAAAGGCTGTCTCCCAGTTGCTCTCTCTCTTCCTTGAAATAATTTTAATAGGTTTTATACCAGGCGTGGTGGTGGTTCCTGGGGTGCTTATCTGTTGAGTTGAAGCTAACACCACTCCACATTCAGCCTGGAAAGTTGATTCCTCTGTACTTCCTCATCCTGAATCACTGGCAGCATCCTATTTATCAAAAAATCTGAGGACGCAGGCCCTTTGAGTCTAAATATTCACCTAAATATATAGGAATCCCTCCTGTTTGCAACCTAACCAAAGACAACTTTTTCTGGGGGGACATGTCAAACAGGGACACCAAAACAATTATATTTTGCTATAAACCTAACAAATAACTGCTAATTCAAATAATTACATGAAATCAGTATTGGTGCTAGAAGATCTTGGACAAATGGTTCTTGTAACTCAGTGAGGAGAAGCACTGCTTTTGACCTGGAAGTCACTACCATTTTAGATTTCTCTACTTGGAAACTCTCTTCCCCTGGATTATAAACAGCCTTTCCTTTCCTTCCTCTTGCTGATACTGGCTTTGTCCTTCCAAATTATCCAAAGCAAACTTACTACACTTCAGCCGGAACCCTTCAAAGATTTTAGGACAGCAGTCATATCCTTCCTCAACATCCTGGCCAGGCCCAGCTATAGCAGCCCTTCCAAGGAATGTTGCTAACATTAATTTAGAGACTACACATTATCCTGGAAAACATTCTAGACACTTAGTTTGTCAGTGACATTATTAAAATATGGTGCTAACAGTTTGTTATAGCTAAAACTTGGAAATAGCCCATTTGCCCATCAGTTGGAAAGTGGATAAAGAAGATGTGATTTTTCTATAAAATGGAATACTACTCAGCCATAAAGAATGAGAAATTAGATTTATTCATAGGAAAATGGATACATATTGAGGATATACGCCTAAGTGAAATAAATAAATCATACATGTGTAACTACCAAATAGTTTCTCTGGTGTGAAAAAATGTAATAGTACAAGCCTAAGTGAAATAAATAAGTCATACATGTGTAACTACCAAATAGTTTCTCTGGTGTGAAAAAATGTAATAGTACATAAGATCCTAATGAGATAATTGACAATGTGAAATAGGATGAAAATGGCTAAAAGTGTAAGGAAAGTGGGAAGGGTAGGGGAAAGGGAATAAGGGAAAAGAAAGAAGTATGAGAAAATGAAAAATGGAAATAAAATGTTTGTAAATGGGAAGGGGAGGAGCGGTTGAAGGGAGGGCAGGGAGAAGGGGAAAAAATGAGAACCAAGACCTGTCATGTAAAGGTACAAGATCCCAATAATGACTGCAACTGTACTGTATACCTAAAATGTACCAATAAACTCAATTAAAAATAAATAAATAAAAATATGGTGCTAAGTGTTTAATAGTAACAGGATCCTCTATTATGCAGTATAAATGTCCTGTGTGAAAAATGCTTCTCACACCCA